TCAGTCTAGAATTTACCCCCCCCCCGGTATTAATCTGAGAGCAGTGAAGTAACGGGCGCAGGTGGTTACCGGGGTTGTTGCTTCTGTCCCCCTGCCCCAAAGAGGCTGTCCCGGGGGATCCCTGCCACAGCGAGAGAGCCGGTGAGAGGGGCGGTGCTTGCTCAGCGTGCCAGGCAAGGACCGGGGAGACCCGGGGAGACCCGGGGCCCAGGCCCCACTCTGCCGTGGGAGCTCGCGGGGGGACCAGTCACATCCCGCTCAGCCCAACGGGGTTGTCGTGGGGACAGAAGGGAGGAGAGGTAGATCGTGAAAGCCATTGCGGATGCTCCTTGAGTGGGCAGGTAGGTGGGGTAGAAGGACACGAGAAGAGCCCCGCTGGGTCAGACCAGTCAGGGTCCACCTGGTCCAACCTCCCGTCTCACACGGGGGCCAGCCAGCTCCTCTGGAGGGCCAGAAAAACTAGGCACAGAGGCCGGGGCCTTCCCCTGAGAAGAACATGGGAAGACTCCTGCTGGATGCGGCCAGTGGATGGTCCCTCTAGTCCAGCATCCCATCTCACACAGTGGCCAGCCAGTCCTTCCGGGCAGCCAACAGCAGAACAGAGAGGCCGAGGCCTTCCCCTGATGTGGCCTCCTGGCTCTGGGATTCAGAGGACTAGTGCTTCTGAATGTGGAGGTTCCCCGCAGTCACCATGGCTGGTAGCCTCTGATAGACTTATCCTCCATGAGAGCCAGTTTGGTGTCGTGGATAAGTGCGTGGAGAACCGGGTTTGATTCCCCACTCCTCCTCCACTTGCACCTGGCTGGATGACATTGGGCAAGCCACAGTTCTGACAAGAGCTGTCCTTGAAAAAGAGCCGTTTCTGTCAGGAGCTCTCTCAGCCCCACCCGCCTCACAGGGTGTCTGTTGTGGGGAGGGGAAGGGAGAGGAGTTTGTGAGCCGCTCTGAGACTCCTTCGGGTAGTGAAGGGCCACGGGGTATGAATCCAATCTCCTCCTCCTCCTCCTCCTCCTCCTCCTCCTCCTCCTC